TATATATATATATATATATATATATATATATATATATATATATATATATATATATATATATATATATATATATAATTTCTTATGTCCTATAATCAAAATTAATGTATCGATCACGTATTACATATAAGCATTTATATAATTATCGAACGATGAGTCGGAATCTATTATTTTTTTTCTACCAGAATAAATTAATTCAGGAGAAGATTAATCAGCTGAAGCAACAGGTATAAAATCTTGTACACTTGTCAATTGCCGAACTAAATTAAAATCTTTGTACGTTGTTCGATTCCGAACCCTTTGATTTCGATGATGTAGGAGAAGAATTTGACGAACGAAAACGCGGGACTTATAAAAACGGTGAGTGTATATATATATATATATATATATATATATATATATATATATATATATATATATAAATTGTAAGTTTAATTATTAATTATTGTTATATAAAATGAATTGGTTTATGTAGCGTGAGATGGTGAAGAATCTGAAATTGTCTAATCCTCCAAAAGTTGAACCAGCAGCAGATATGGAGGGGGAAGAAACCGCCATGTTTCATCTGTGAGTAATATATATATATGTGGAGAGAGAGAGAGAGAGAGAGAGAGAGTTATATTATTAATATATGCAATAATTATCTCTCTCTCTCAATAATGAATGAAACTCAAGTGAGTGAGTACGTAAATATGTGATGTAATAATAATAATTGTGTGCCACGTCACTAAATTATTAAGGCGAAGTTGAGGAGTTGATCTCTCAACCAGGCATGAACTCATCATGTGAAGACAAGATATAATGTATATATACATACATATATTTTGTTGTTTGTGTTTATTATTGTGTATGGCGGGTGAAACATATATATATATGTGGGTAAATGGGGGTCGGGTATTGGTAGGGATGGCATTTGTTCCCGACCCATGGGTACTCGTCCCAAAAATTTTGGGTAATGCCTGCCTCGCAAATAAATGGGACGGATACGGATTCTAATTTTTCCATCGAAAACGGGTTTGAGGTGGGTGGTCGATTTGTATATATCCGTCCCATAGACCTGCCCCGCATATATATATATATATATATATATATATATATATATATGGTAAAAGGACTATCACAAGGAACTTAAATGCGCATTGGTCCACAAAAAAAACAGTCTTTCAAATAGACTTATCCCGTGTCTTTAGTTTAAAATACCTTTCATAATATAATTCTTATAAATTCCATCGATTATGCTCAAATTTCCTTAATATTACACATTGACCCCGGATTTAAACAAATATATCAAATTAACCCCCAAAATAATAATTTTTTGAAAAAATATTTTATTTTTCAGAAAATAATTTTTTTTATGAAATTTTTTTTCCGGCCAGATTCCGGCGTTGACCGCTGGTCTCCGACGTTGATTTTTTTTTTTTGAAAACTTTTTTTTATCCTGACAGTTTTTTTCCGGACAGTCAACCACCGTTGACCGCCGGTCTCCAGTGTCGACTTTTTTTTTTTTCGATTTCTTTTTTCTTAGAAAAAAATATTTTAATTAATATTATTGTCTTGGCTACTAAATTACTGTCTCATACAGTAATATTACTGTTTGGGACATTAATATTATGAATATTATTTTCCCGAACAGTGATATTATTAATATTACTGTCTCAGACAGTTAAATTACTGTTGGAGACAATAATTTAACAGCCAAGACAGTAATTTTAATTAAAATAATTTTTTTTAAGAAAAAAAATTTTAAAAAAGAAAAAAAGGCAATTAACCGTTAGAATTTAAAAGGGTATTCTGAGGGGAATTTGGATCTGGGAATTGAGAGAGGAAAATAGAGACCGATATAGATTGGCAGCTAGAATTTATTAAATTTAAAACTGATTTAAAAGAATATTCTGGGTATTAGTTATCCCTTATTTTAAAGACTTTAATAACAAAGAGGCTCCCGATGCAGATGACATATATACTTAAAAGTTAATAAATATCTAATTTAGTTCTTTTTAATAATTTATGAAAATATCTAGTCTAAAACCCTAATAAAAGATTTTCACGTATCCAATATACTTTCTTCTCCCATTAATAAACTAGTCAAATATTGAGATAGATATTTTCACAACAATATCATCAAAATTACTTGGCAGCCCTCGGAGTGGGCCAAATGGCACCTCCCCCACCTTTACTTCAACCAATCACAGAACGAAACATATACTTAAATAAATTATTCATATGTCGCACTTTCCACTTCTTTGCTTGTCCCACTACACACACACACACAGTACTAGTAC